CTGCGCCACCAGGGAGGGCCTCAGTGGTGCTTTTTAAAGAGACGATCTTGCAAAAAAATAAGTGGATAGCTTTTCACCTAAGAAACCATAAAATAGATTACAGTATCTTTGCTTTTCAGTTATGACTTTATTCTTAGCTTGGGGCTTGACATTTCTGTTCTGGGGTCTCCTAGATGCACAGTGAGTTCTATGAATTATAAATTCCTATTTGCTGAGGTTTAAAAAGTGTGTGTCCTGCCTAGCGCCTCCTCGGGTTGCAAGCACAAAGCCCCTCACCCCTCCACACCCCGTACCCCCTCACTCGCCTTCCCTCCGGTAGAGTCTATAGTCACAGCACCTGCCATTTGTGGATCCTGCGCTTCTTTCAGGGATCCCCCCCAGCTGACTTCTTTGGTGGCTGTCTGCGTGATCAACTGTTTGGTGCAAAGACAAAGAAAAATAGTATATGTCTAGTACCTTCCTTTTCATCTTGCTGATTTTTCTTCTCATAGGCTCTTATGTTCCTTTCTTGATTCCTCTTGCTACCAGATTCTTTATTTTGCTTTTACCATGTAGTTGACTGTTTTCTGCTTGGAATTTCCCATCTGCTCTTGTTTTTGTTTATTTTTTTTTCTTATCCTTTGCCCTGATTTGTTTGATTACATAAAATAAGCAAGAAAGCAAACATACTGCTTTTCAGCAAATTAAGACATAAAAGTAATATAGGGGTGAGAGAATAATGTTTTCCCCTTCCAGTCACAAAAGTAAGGTAATATAAGGAACTGGGAAACAGGAAAGAATTGTCCATGTGCATCCGAATGCTATCCTCTGAGGTTGCACCTTCTGTGTTCCTTCATCTTCCCCCCATGCAAACAAGTTGATATCTTAAACTTGCGATCGTGGTGCCATTAATAATACAACAAGAATTGTATCCTTTAAGTAGACTTGAGTCATATTCTCACCTTGGCTAGTTGAGTTGTACTTTTTAAAATAGATCTTGACAGGTGTCTGGTAAATATTTTGTTGCTAAAGTGGCCAGACTCCCTGCTCCACTCTGTGTCTCAGTTTCCCCACTTCTGAAGTGGGAAAAATTAATCTTTTAAAGATTTATTTATTTATGCATCTAGAACTGGGGTACAGGCCAGAGGGGCGGTGAGAAGATTCACCAGAGACAGAGTGGGGAGCAGAACAGGTGGACTGACTGAAGTACACTGCTGAGGGGAGCAGCGGCAGGTCAGGAGAGGTCTGCTGCGCCTCGTGGGTCAGCTCCCTGGCCGGGGATTGAACTCGGGCTGAAGCGGCTAGGCTGTAGCTTGCTTCATAGTGCTTTAACCCAGGGCGCCACCAGGGAGGGCTGGAAAAATTAATTTATGAGAGGTTTTGTGAGAATCCGTGAAAACCTAAATGTTTGACATATCTAGACCTTGTCTCCTGGCTATAATATCACAATTGTCCCCTAGAGAGCACTGCTGGAGAAGAAGCAGAGAAAAAAGCGCCTTGAGCCACTTATGGTCCAGCCAAATCCAGAAGCCAGGCTACGTCGGCCAAAGCCTAGAGGCACCGAGGAGCAAACCCCTTTGATGGAGCCACACGCCCTGCACAATGATGTCGTCCTCCACGGTGTGTGTTTAGACGGCGGCACTTCCTGCTGGGACCCCTGCTCACCAACTCAGAGCAGGATGGAGCATTCTCAGATAGACCAAGGGACCAAAAGGAGAGCAGGAAGCTTCAGGATTCTTTAAAATTATGTTTTGGGCTTTTGAGTTTAGACTAAAACTACTCTGATCAGTGGGCGATCACTTAATGTTCATGTCCACCCAGGAGCTGTTGTTTTGGAAGCCAGTGGTTGGCCTGTTGCCAGTCCGATTGGCCTGTTGAATAGCAGGTAGCCTGTTACATTGGGCGGAGTTACCCCGGAAGCCAGGAGTAGGTGGGGAGCGGCCTTCTTCCAACAGAAAGGACACAAGGATCATCTGAGAGAGATGGTGAAAGCGGAAAGGAGGAAGTGGATTAAGAGCTTGATTGGCTGAACTTGATGGGCTTGGACATGGGACTCAACTATGGAAAACTTTGTTTTCGTGATTTTTTTAAAAAAAAGATTTATTTATTTATGCTTACAGAACTGGAGTACTGGCCAGAGGTGTGGTGGGTGAGAGGATCACCAGAGACAGAGTGGGGAGCAGAACAGGCAGACTGACAAAGTACACTGATGAGGGGAGCAGTGGGCAGGTCAGAAGAGGTCTGCCATGCCATGTGGGTCAGCTCCCTGGCGGGGAATCGAACTTGTCCTGCAGTGGCCTCAGAGAGCTTCATAATGAGGTGCTTTAACCCGTTGCGCCACCAGGGAGAACCCATTGTTTTCATGATTTTTTTCCTTCAGTTTCTATAGTATAGCATCAAGTATATTTTGCTTTAGTCAAATTAAAAAGATGAGTGTCAGTCCCGAATTAACACAGACCCTTGTGGACCTTAGGGAAGGAAGGTAAAGTGACTTGGTAGCTCTTAGTTCTTCTCTTGCACAGCTAACTACCCAACCAACGTGGAGCTAAGACTTTCCTTCTGTCTCCTAGGTATTGATGGTCCAGCAGCTTTCCTGAAGTCAGATAGTCACGACTTGGAAACCAAACTTCATGTCCTTGCAGTAGGTTCTTCTGCCACAGAAGAGGACACTGAAGGAAGGGATGATGGGGACAGCGTTCTGGACGCTGCACCCAAGCCAGGCCTTCAGGAGATTCTCCAGAAACACGGTGAGCGAAAGTCATGGTTTGAAGACAGTTACTCTTCTAGTCATTTGTCATTTTCCCCCTTTACTTCCATTATTTGATTTTTTTTTTTTTTTCAGTGATAGCCTTTCCATGGCTTGTGAGGTCACAGCTCTTTGTGATTTTGATTTGCCTTTTCTCTAAAGGGTAGAGATATTGAGCTTCATTTCACGTACTTACTGACCACAGCTATGTCTTTGGAGAAATGTCTATTTAAGACTTTACCCATTTTTGGATTTTTTTCTTTTTTCATCATTGAGTTCTAGGAGTTCTTAATCTACTCAGGAGATTAATCCTTAATCACATAGATGATTTGCAAATTATTTTTTCTCACAGATACAGTGCGTCAAAGAGCTAAATTAGGGTGGCAGCAGTGAAGGGAGAGTAAAGAAGGCACTGAGGAAGGATACCAAAGAAGATCTGTGAGATTTTAGATGCAGGAACCATGTCTTGAGTTAGTTTAGAATGTTTTAAGCAAAATAATGAAAATCATCTTTGGTTCAAAGATTGCCTTTTTAAACCAGTGTTGACAGTTTTTGACCATTCTCGCCTGACAGGTATCTCGGGTAGTTTGAACTTTGATGAGGAAGAGACTGATGGGGAAGAAGAAGGAAAAAAGTTAAGGTCTCATTCTCCACATTCAGAAGCAGACAGACCAAATTCTGCATCCAGCCAGAAGTCAACCACAGTATGTCATTCTGAAACTTCGTTAGTTAAAGCCAGCCAGTTAAACTACAGCTAAGTTAGCTCTTTCCCAAACATCTCTTCAGTAGTGGAATAGCATTACTGAGTAAGATCCGGACACTTCCCGCTCTAGATCAGACTTATGCTCCTCACCTCTCTGGAACCTTCTGTCCCACACCAGCTACTGTGTGGCGGCCTCCAGGAGCGCCTCGGTCCCCCTCAGTGTGCGTGTACTTACATAACTCTTTAGAGCACCCTTCAGTTCAGGAGACTACAGTCAGAGGGGTCAGTCATTAGTTGACGTTGTCCATTAAGTGTTTCTCAGGGAGATTTTGGAGTTTCTGACAACTTCCTGTTGCCCAATGTGCCTGGTCTCTCAGGATACAGGAGCTTCCAGTACTGCAGCCCAGCAAGCTGAGAACCAGCTGGGAGAAGTGGAGAATTTAGAGGACTTTGCTTATAGTCCTGCCCCACGAGGCATCACCGTCAAGTGTCGGATAACCAGGGACAAAAAAGGAATGGACCGGGGTCTTTTCCCCACTTATTATATGCACTTGGAAAAGGATGAGAATCGGAAGGTAAGAGAATTGATTTTCTTTTTAAAAGATTTATTTATACATACAAGAGCTGGGGTGCAGGCCAGAGGTGTTGGGGGGGGGGGCTTGGCAGTGAGAAGGTTCACCAGAGACATAATGGGGAGCAGAACAGGCTGATCCACTGAAACACACTGCTGAGGGGAGACAAGAGAGGTCCGCTGTGCCATGTGGATCTCCCTGGCTGGGGATCCACCTCGTGCTGCAGTGGCTGCTGAGAGCTTCAGAGTGCTGAGACTTAACCCCTTGTGCCACCAGGGAGGCACAGAGAATTGATTTTCAAGGCAGATCTTGAGACAGAGGGAAGAGTGTTGTGGGGACAGGAACAGCACTAGCATCCGAGCAGAGGAAGGTTGTTTTGTCAAGTCCCAGGTGGTTCTCAGGGCTCATGGTCTAGTAGACAGAGTCTGCAGAGTCTGTACCTCCCCCCACCCCTCCCGCCCCCAACCAGCCCCAAGGAAAGACTTTACCCTGAATGTAAGGAAATATTTGAAGGCAATTATTTTTACCTCCATCCCTTTTTATTGGGGAAGGGGTGTGGCTGTGGGAGGGTGAGGTGTCACTTTATGCGATTGCTTTTTATTTGTATTAACGTAGAACATGACATTGCAGAAGAAAGAGCACATTTTGGGGAATAGAGTGAGTTGTGAGTTAGAAATAAAGAACATGCAAGTGAAATGTCTTGACCCTGGAAATTCTCATTAACTCTGCATATACATATACATCTGAGACAATTTAATACTTTCTAACAAAAGACCTATTTTGTATAAAACCAGGTCCTAGAGGTTGGTATGAAGAGCCTAGAAATGAGATGAGGGCAGGAGATGCCACTGTTACTATAACCACAACTTACTGAGTTCAGAGTGTGCACTAAATGCTTGATACCTATTATCACTTACACTGTAACAGCCTTGCATAATAGGATTTCCTGTCCTTGCTGTATGGATGAGGTAACTGGGGCTTAGGGAATGACCTCCCTGCTCCAGGAGACATTCGTAAGTGGCAGGGCCAGGTTGAAATCCACCTCTGTTTGATTCCAAAGTTCTTCCCTAAGCTTCTGCCACTCCTGCTTCTCTTCTGTTGTCCAAGATGAGGAGGTTTGGGCAGGGTGTGGCTGTGATCACAGAGGGTAGCCCAGTGACAAGGAGCGTCCGGAGACATTGGTACTCCCAAGGGTGATGCAGAGGGTGGGTGGTGAGGATGTGGCTACTCCTAAGATTGCAAAGACTCAAGCAAGGAATTGGACAAAGTGTTTTCAAAAAGTCACTGGAGGTTTAAGGGATAAAGTTGTGTGGAAAATCAAGCTAGTGAATTCAGAAAAGTTGTATGATAGGGAAACCCTGACAGTGAGTTCTGGGAAATGTTAGAAAAAAGGGATAAAGACCCCCAAATTTGGCTTTTCTGAAAACACTGAATGGTATGTGAGTGACCCGTGCTGGAATAGGGCTTGGAGACAGTGTTTGGGGTTGGGGTGGGGGGTATGTCACAGCCTGGGGCTCATGGAGACAAGGTGGGGAGTGGATGCCCCTTACCAGCTGGGTCTCCTGGTCAAGGACATAATGACCAAGCCTCTGGGGAGATCTGTTTCCCTTCTGATGATCTAGGAATCTGAGGCCACTGACTGTTTTCCTGGGTGAGGGGTGGGGGGACACCTCAAGGACACATTTTAAATATTATACCCACGCTCACCAGTGGATGGGCTTCCAAAATGGTATTGGGGGGCCTCTTTGGTGGCACAGTGCTCTCAAGCCATCTGCAGCCACTGCAGCACGAGTTTGATCCTGGACCAGGGAGTGACCCACATGGCGCAGCTCCTGTCTCGCCCGCTGCTCCCCTCAGCAGTGTGTTTCAGTCTATCTGCCTGTTCTGCTCTCCACTCTGTCTCTGGTGAATCCTCTCAGTCCCCCCACATCTCTGGTCTGTACCCCAGTTCTTGTATGCGTAAGTAAAATAAACGTTAAAAAAAATAAAATCTTTACCAAAAAACGAAACCAAAATGGCATTTTGGGGTTACAGCCTGTCATCTGGGCACAGGGACTCCAAGGAGGTGGCCATTGCATTCGAGGTGCCACCCCCATGGGCAGGCTCCCACAGTCCCGGGGTGGTGAGTGCTGGGGAGCAGGACTGGCAAAGCCCGGTCTGCAGCACTCGGGGGGACCTCCTCCCTGCCCCACAGGCACTGGCGTCATCTCGGCTGCCACTGATGGCTGCTGCACTCCAGCCACACAGGCAGCGTCCCCAAGACGCCTTACGTGCCATCTCCAGGCCTCCAGCTGTCGCCCCTGATCTCGGCATCAGGTCTCCGTGTAAAGACCCACACCAGAAACCCAGGCTTCTGCGGGGCCATCAAATAGCTTCAAATTAATGCAAGTGAATTAAGCCTGTAAAAATGTTTACAGGAAGCACCAAAGATGGCTGGCACCTCCCAAACATCGCCAACATTTGCTCCAGAAACAGATAGAACAAACTGTGGTGCTTCTTTTGACTGGCTTCTCTCCCCCCACCCCCCTTCCAGATATTTCTTCTTGCAGGTAGAAAGCGGAAAAAGAGCAAAACGTCCAACTACCTTATCTCCACGGACCCAACAGATTTGTCTCGTGAAGGAGAAAGTTATATTGGCAAACTCAGGTGAGAGCAGCCTTGTAATTGCTGCCCTGTCCTTTCTGAAACTTTTATTCCTGTAGTTTCAGAACAGTTCCTGTCTTTTTCACAATGAGCAGGTAAAAAAACAAAGAAATCTAAGGTCCTTCCTTGTTTTTTTTAAGATTATTTATTCATACAGAACTGGGGTACAGGCCAGAGGTGCAGGGGCAGTGAGAGGATTCTCCAGAGACAGTGGGGGAGCAGAACAGGCCGATCTACTGAAAAACACTGCTGAGGGGAGCAGCAGGAGGGCCAGGAGAGGTCTGCTGTGCCATGTGGGTCAGCTTCTGGGCCAGGAACTGAACTCGCACAGAAGCGGCTGTGGCCAGTTTTGCAGTGCTGGCTTTAACCCATTGTGCCACCAGGGAGGGCCTCGCCTTCCTTGTTTGAATGAGAAGTCTTAAAAAAGGTCACGATGTCCTTTGGAGACAGGCAATGGGCTTGTTCCCGTCACTAGGTCTCCCGCATCATTTGTGTAAGAAGAAAATACAGATGATCGTGATGACCTTTTCTCCTGTTCCAGATCCAACCTCATGGGGACCAAGTTTACAGTCTATGACCACGGTGTCAGCCCAACAAAGGCCCAGGGCCTGGTGGAGAAGGCCTACACCCGGCAGGAGCTGGCCGCCATCTGCTACGTGAGTTCCCGGAGCCACCCAGGGGCCCAGTGGCTCCTCAGACCTAACGTGCTGGTGCTGGACTGTGGCTCCCGCCTGCTGGCTTCTACGTGTGGGCGCCTTTTCTGTTGCTGCCTTTGTTTTCTCTGTGCATGGGATTTTAGTTCTTCGTGGAGCGCCCACTTCAGCTATTTTCCACTTTTAAATCTTTCTGGCCTCATCTGCCGTGCTCTTTTCCTAAGGCCAGCTCTTCCTTACCTCTCTTCCTTTGCTAGAGGTTACAGTAAACTAGACACTGACCTTTGCTTTTTCTATCCAGTTCTTCCTATCTTGCTACCAGGTAAATCCCCCCACCTGCACTCCGGTGAGCCCTCACCACTTCCTTTCAGACCCCTGTTCCCAGCGCTCGAGCCACACGGCCCCTGTAATTCCTTTGCTGTACCCTAAGAGCCTTCCTGTCCCCCCTCTTTGCACTTTGCTGAATCAGTGCCACGAAATCATCAGAGAAGTGCCTGGCCACTGTCCGTGGCCTCTGTACAGGGCCTGTGGCACCTGCACGTGCTCTTATCACTTGTGTTATTACCGGTCCAACAGTGTGTTACCCGTTTTTCTGGTATTGTGAGCTATTTTTTATGAATACAGATAGTCAGTTTATACAAAGCACAAAGTTTATATAGTGAGCACAGAACCCACCTAGATAATGTTTAGAAAAGCATGATTTGGAATAGTAAACCTGTTTCCAGTGGTTGAAGAACTGAGTGTGCAAAACTCTTCATCCCAGCCACGGCCACAGGCCACATGGCCACGCGGCCACAAGACCACATGGCCACACGGCCACGGCCTCGTGCACAGGAGGTGAGCAAAGAGTTGAGTACAAGAAAGGAGGAGGAATGAACCCGATTGCCTGTTGCTTCGTTCTTAGCATCTCAGCTCTTGTGGTGGCTTTGGTGGGAACTCACTTCACAGCTGGAGTTTATCTTCGTGACTGACAACCACTTAACACTTTACAACACGTAGTGTTGCTTCCCCAAGCTTTGGGCATCAGCGAGCTATGTTAACTCTGCGTGGTGCACACGAACACACACATCTGCCTGTTTAATGTGCTTATTCACATATCATCCAGGCTCTTGAGTTTTTAATCTCCTGGCCCAGGTCCTATTTAAATTGTAATCCTCGCTGTTTACCACACAGTGTGGTTCCTCACTGGGAAATAACTATTTACTTATGATGATCAAATTAGAGTTTGCTCACAGTTGTCTCAGATTTCACTTGAGAATAAAGAGGAGAGTTTCAAGCCAGTAGGATCTCTTTTAAATTCAAGTGTTCAAAATAGGTCCTAGAAAAGGTGCTGTCCTGCCTTCCTATCTGGGATCCCGTCTCCTTTTATTTAACTACAGTTAAATCATTAAATAGTTTTAGTGCTCTTGACATTGTCAGCATTTTCCATGCCTAAGAAAGTCTTGTGTGAAGAATGTGGCCTCTCTTTCCTTTCTGTTTTCAAGTTCTGTCTTGTTTTCCCATTGTCTAGGAAACCAATGTACTTGGATTTAAAGGTCCAAGAAAAATGTCTGTGATCATTCCTGGGATGAATATGAGCCATGAACGGATCCCATTTCGTCCACGAAATGTAAGTTAAAATCATATTTAATCAGGGCCCTCCCTGGTGGCACAGCGGGTTAAAGCACAGCAGTAAGGAGCTAAAGCCACTGCAGCATGAGTTCGATCCCCGCCCAGAGGTGACCCACACAGCAGGCAGCCCTCTCCAGACCGCCTGCTGATCCCCTCAGCAGTGTACTTCATCAATCTGCCTGTTCTGCTCCCCGCTCTCTCTCTGGGGAATCCTCTCACCGCCCCTGCACTGCTGGCCTGTACCCCAGTTCTATATGCATAAATAAATAAATCTTTTTAAAAAACATATTTGATCAGTAGAGGACCTTAAAGGCAAGAATACAATTCAAGAGAGATAGATGCAAAACAACAACAGAAAAACCCTGAACACTCCCAGAACCAGTGCTACACAGGTTAAGGCTCATACGTTTCTCTAGGAATGCCGCCACTCCAGACGCTAAGGGTAAATTGCAGTCGAAAAGTGGCGGATTTGAAACCACTTGATCAGCAAAGGGAAGTGCCGTGTAAGAATCAACACATACACACAATCACCTGGCTTCAGTTTTAGCTTTGTTCTGGTCTGACTCTTTCTGAAATGGAACAAACAAAAAATTCCTCTGTTCTTTCTACCGCAGAGCTGAAAATGAACGTGCCCAGACAGTGCTCGGTACAAAGTAATGCCTTTCTCTTCAAACAGGACCATGAGAGCTTGCTTTCGAAATGGCAAAACAAGACCATGGAGAACTTGATCGAGCTGCACAATAAAGCTCCCGTCTGGAACGATGACACGCAGTCCTACGTCCTCAACTTCCACGGCCGCGTCACACAGGCATCGGTGAAGAACTTCCAGATAGTCCACGGAAATGACCGTAGGTCCTTGGGAAGGCCGGATGGGCCCAGGAGGGAACGTGTTCCCGTGCCTGCCCCTCGATAAGGACAAGAGCACGGTTCATGTGATTATGGGCCCAGGAGGGAACGTGTTCCCGTGCCTCATGGTTCATGTGATTAGGAAGTTTACAGTCAAGAGAGATTTATTTGAGAGATAAAGTAAAAAGGATTTCTTTCAAAAGACAAAGCTGCACTTTCACAGTAAAACTTCTCAACCACCATGTTGAAGAGGGCAGAAGGGAGAGCCTTCCCGTGGCAAATCGGAGAAGTCCAGGAGCTGTGTGGGACGCAGGTGGAAACGGGCCTCAGCAGCCCTGGCGGGGGCCTGAGCCCCACACCCACTCTGCCCTCCCCGCCCCGCCCCTTGTGTGCTATTTTGGGGCAGCCCCCCCACCCCGTCCCCTCGGGGGAGTTGCAGAGGCCTGGAGGTGAACTGGCCTATGTGGAGAATGAATGCTTTGCCTGTATCTTCCGCAGGCCTCTCCCCCGCCCTGTATCCTCTAACGTGCCGCTGTCTTTCCGTTTCCAGCGGACTACATAGTCATGCAGTTTGGACGTGTGGCAGATGACGTGTTCACACTGGACTACAACTACCCGCTGTGCGCACTTCAGGCCTTCGCCATCGGGCTTTCCAGCTTCGACAGCAAGCTGGCGTGTGAATGAGCGAGCGGCGGCCCCGGCTTCCTCACTGCAGGCCTTCCAGAGCAGAGCGGGCGCCTCGTCTTGCCCCAGGACATGAAAAGCGACCACCCACCCCGTTTGGAATGACCCTGGAGTGAGCCTGTGCGTGTGTGTGCGCACACATGTCCGTGTGCATACATGCATGCGTGCCAACACGCACACACACTCTGGGTTTCACAGCTTAACGTGCACAAGGAGGTCAAGGCACAGAGCCTCCTGTCCAGAGTGCGCTGGTGACTTCCTCCCGTTTACTGCCCCACAGATTCCCTGCCTCAAGGCCAGGTTTCCTCTGCTTGGAAACTTGCAGCTAGAATCAGGTTCTAACAATCAAACGCTTGGATCATTTTTGGAAGACCTTTTCAGAGAGGTTCCCTAAATCACCCCCTAGACTCTAACGACAGCTGTAAATGACATTCCGTAAATGATAGCTGGTCTCTCTCTCACAGTCACCCAGCTCTGCCACAGCCGTGTGAAGGTGGCTGTAGACAAACAGATGCGGCTGTGTCCCTGGGAGCTTCCTTTATGAAGCCAGGCGGCAGGTCAGAAGGGCCTGTGGCCAGAACCTGCCCACTTCAGGTTTCTCGCGTCTCCAGGCTCCGCGTCTTCCAGAGAGGGCCTGTGGATGGCACTCCGCTGGGAAGTGTGCCCTGCAGGATACACTACGACACACTTAGAGGACCTTCTACGGTCACAGCGGGAGAACCCCAAATCGGTGATCGTTCTGAGCCACACAGGTGGCTTCGGTCCTCTCTCCTACCCATTTGTCCACGGGGCAGGCAGTGCCGTCCAGTGCCTAAGAGGGGAGCTTAACTCACCAGGAAACAGACCTGGAGTCGTGTTCTCCGGGTGGCATCGTCTGAGCTGGCTTGCTTTCCCCGAGCCTTCGGAGGTCTGATGTCACGGCCCCTTCCCCTCAGCCCCACCCCCCAGCATGCTGGCTGGCACCGATCTCAGGGCCCGTGGCCAAGTTTGTGACATTTAAGGGTTTTATATTGATAATTGTCTTAATTTCAGTGTAAGCTGAAAGCATGAACTCTAGAGGTGACCTCGTCTAGTGAAGACTGCAGTTTGACAGCTGCCTTCATTTTCAACCCAGGAGTGCCTCGTTGCCATGGAGCTCTTAGTACCGAGGGACACGCACCTGCAGTGTGAGCGAGGGTGGACGTCACAGACCCGCACTGTCGCTGTCATCAGGACTGGCAGTGGGGGAGCTTTGGTGCAGACCCCGGGCTCTGCCAAGCCTGAGGGCAGGGCACTGGGCCTCCAGCTCCCGCGGCCTGGTGCAGGTGTGCTCCCGTCACTTCCTCAGACCGTGAGATGTCGCCAGCCCTTCGAACCCGTAGCACCTCCCAGCTGCACCTGCCACTCTACCACCAGTTCATGGCCTCGGAATGTGCCGAACCTTGAGGCTCGAAGAACTTTGTCGGTTCTAGCCTTCGAGCCCCGAGCTGTTTGCCAGCGTGGGGCAAAGAATCGATGGCTGTTCGCCCACTACATTTCCCTTCTATGGGCTTTCTTTGTCGCCCCGCTTCTGGTTACTTGCTCCACATCAAACAGCAGCGTGAAGGAAGAGACTGACCGGGGAGATGAAAAGGCCCCTTGCTCCCAGCCCTCCCCCGGCCTGTCCTCCTGCTTCATTTGACATGATCGTTTCCATCTCAGGCATGCGTCACATCAAGTGCCTCGTTCATCAAGTGCCCGCGAGCCTTCCAGGCCTCCAGTGCCACTGTCCCGATGTGCTGTCGAATGAGCTGCCTCGTTGGAGACAGAAGGCTGTTCGGTCATCTCCAGCCGCCGTGTGCGGCAGCGTCCCGGGGAGGGGACCTGACAGGGCAACTGGACCCAGTCTGCTCCCTCCTGCGCGCTCTGGCTTGGAGACAGACAGACCCCAGCTTCACAAGCTCTCTGCTTGGGTGTGCAGGTGATTGGTTTTATAAAAAATCATATTTATACCTTTTGTATGCTACAGAAATAAAGATAATTTATATAAAAAATTGAGTTCACCTTTTTTTAAAAAAAGATGTTAATTATGCATATAAGAGTTGGGGTGCAGGCTAGAGGTGTGGGTGTTGGTGAGAGTGGAGAACAGATTAGGCAGAATGACTAAAATACACTGCTGAGGGGAGCAGCGGGCAAGACAGGAGAGGTCTGCCGTGCCTTATGGGTCATCTCCCGGGCCCGGGATGGAACTTGTGCCACAGTGGCTGCCAATAGCTTCATGGTACTGAGACAACCCCTTGCACCACCAGGGAGGCCCTTGAGTTCACCATTTTTAAAAAAGCCCAGTTGCTCACAAATGAACACATGTTGTGTTCATTTTCACTGCTTGGGAACAGTGAATTAATCGATTATCTTAAGCCAAGCAAGTATCACCATCAGCTTTCTTCCCGGGGTAAACCAGGGGTGCAGGCTGGCACCATTCTTTTCTGGATGATGGCGCTAAGAACTGAGCTCAGGGGCACGTGGAGAGGGGTCCGTTGTTCAGAGCATGAGTCGGTAACTAAATTCCTAACACTGGGCCCT